GAAGTTTGTATGGCCTCCAAATCAGCATCAGCAACGCAACCGCCCGTTTCAATACAAAAAGCATTCCGGGAAATGGACCGCTGCTTGGCATCATAGATGTTAAAAGGTAATGCTCCGACCACCCACGTGACAAGTACTCAGCGCACTGGAACTCTAATTCTGCTATGTCACCCTTTGTCTCGCGCTGTATAGGCGAAAAAAGAAGCCGGTGGCGGCGAAACAAAGCAAGCACCATCAGGCGTTGAACTGTAAAAATCGAACCTATTCAAATATAAATACCTCCTCTAAAGTACCTGCCATGAGATACAGCCGCTTCAGAGATCTCCCCACTCCCCACTGTCGGTCCCACAACAACTTGCATCAGGCCAGTTGCGTTAGTAATATCACTCTACATCCACCAAACGGGCAGTCGTATGGCACTGTGCTCGGTGCCACAGGTGCAATTTACTGACCATTCGGGATGACAAGTCAGCCATTTCCTGGTGGGATATGGTTGATTCCCTAGAACGCATCGGGCTCACAAGTGGGATAAGTCCGTCGTAATCGCAGTCCCGCTAGATAAGGGATAGTTCCTGTGTTCTTTTCGAACATATATGTTACCCGCTAGCCAGCAGGCACACACGAACTTCGTGTCCGTCCAATGCGTGTGCGTTGCATGACCCGGGTACCCTGCTGCTGTGGGCCACGACCTACCTTGCATGGATCTTCATCTCCGTTAGCAAGCCTTCGCGCAATTATTCCATATATGCCCTTTCTTTGGTTGGATTGCAGGGTTTCGAAGCACTGAAGTATCAAAGCCACCATTGCAACAGTGGCCGCTAGAAGTGCAACCGCTACGAGCGGCGCGTTCTTTCGTCCCCGTCTCCTTCTAGATGTAGAAGCACCTTGACCCAACACAGAAGGTCCATTGTGCCCGAAAGTAGGGTCAGAGGTGGGAGCAACAGCAACTGGTACCTTAGTGGCTTCACTCGCCCCCGTTAGAAGTGCCACGGAGGCAGAGAAAAGTAGGGTGGAGAAACGCATTTCGCACTTTAAATGGGCTTTTAATAGTTTTTGTATACAATGAAAAACAGCGTCCCTAAAATTTCAATGAAAAAGTATAAGTTGAGCTCCGATGGTGTTTCTGCCCTCTCACCTCAGGCGCGCGCAGTACTGCAACAGGCCAGGCCTGTGTGCGCAAGTTTTCCAGGATGTAGGCTTCGCAAGCCCAATGCATGCCTTCGTCTGCAGATGTGAACATGACTCGCTTTTCATTACTATATTAGAACGTGCTTGCCCTATATCGTGCAACTAAAGGCGGTGCGTGTGGAGGTTCCTTCTGTGCCGTCACCTTCGTCTGGAGCTGTATGGCGGCGATTGCCCGCCGAGGCGTTCATCTTGTATAGCTCCAGTTTATGCATCTAGCTAGTTAGTTGTACAAACACAGCTGCAACGATAATAGCAGGCGAAACTCACACGCCATTCGTCGAATACTACACTTTTCAAATAGCTGCTTGCGTCCTTGAGCTGCCGGCGGCTCCTCAACGGGCTTTTCGCTCTTGTAACGAGAATGCTTGATCTTTCGGCGGGGGCAGCATGCGGTGAGATGGATTGAATCGAGGCAAGTTAAAAGTCTGTCAAAAAGCAGGCGACCAAACCCCACAACCCCTACGCGCCCTGGGCGCAGCGGCACAAGGGGGTCGGGCTGGCTGACGAGATGAGGGGGCTAGCAATGAGTTGCAGCGCAGTTGGGTGCAGCTTCTGCTGCGATTAAACCCCACATATTAGTTTTACCTTATCCCGTATGCTGCACTCACTAGCACAGGACAGTTGTTAAACGCATAGTTGGCCCTCAGTCACCAGCTTGCGTGAACACTCAAGAACACCTACAAGCTTCAGGAGTCACGCGCGACACCTGCTCCCTCACTTTCCCATAAGCATCGCTGGCTATGTTGGTCTGAGTGCTCGGAAAGGTACTTGTGGACCGATGGGTGGGGCTGCTGCCTAGTTGGTGCTGCAGTGGTTGTTTCTGATGCTTCACCGGATCTTCCTGCAAACTCGACAGGTGCAAATATGCACTGTGCGTGTGTCGGGAAGTTTCGCAGCTGTTTTAAAGTTTGGGGGGAAATTTTGGTTGCAGGTTGCAGGACTGCTGGGTGCCTTACTCTGGGCAGTGCATAATTTTGTAGTAATGTTGTAGCCGTGTAGCCGTGCACGGCGTTTGGGGTCTTTTGTCTAGTGCATTTAGACACCGCAAAGGCATACAAAAACCGGTCTTGGCGAGATGCTTTTTGGACGTGCTTCTCGGTGGGAGTTTGTAGCGTCTTGGGACTCTGTCTTGAAGGCTCTAGAAATGGCAGCGTGGCCGTCGGGGTGTGCTGCCTTATGCCGGAGGCTGTGACCCCGTGGGTTTGTTGAGTGGGTTGGATTGCTGACTCACTGGCTCGTTGGGTATCCCACCGCAGACGGAGCCAGCGCTGGTGGTTTTCGCTATTGGCTGCAATGCTGGAGGTGCACGGTGTGCACGTGCACGGGTGACATCCGTAGCTAGCCGTACCTAGCCAGCTCTGCACAATTCCCCTGAGGGAGATAGTCATTTCTGCCTCGTCTGCTGTTGCTTTATTGCTGCTGCTGCGGGCTGTGGTGCAGAATCGCGTACTGGCGATTACCAGCCAGCAGTGGTTGATGTGGTTTGCTTGCTGCGGTAGGCTACAGTCTGCCCGCTTGGGGTCGGCAGCAGTCGCTGCAACGTCTGCAGCAAATGGTACAGTCGAGGCTTTTGGGCACTGATGCGGTGTCTCTAACGTCTGCGCAGGATTCCGCTTATATCCTGCTGCTACTGCTGCTGCTACTGGTGCGTCTGTTGCAACTGCTGCAACAGCGGCAAATGCTTCAGGTTTTGCTATTCAGCCTAACGTTGCTCTTCCTTCGTTGCGCTTGTCACCGCAGGACAATCCTGCAAAATAAAGAGAATCATTCCTGATACTGCGCTTCCTTGAGTTCTTGGCAATAGGTTGTTCTCAACTTCGCGATGCCCCCAGTAGACTACAGCCGCACGCGCTGAATGGAGTGTCCGATGGTTACAACAGAAAAACGTACTCTCAAGCGTCGCCCTGCTGCAGGGCACTGTTGCTGTCACGCCGTTTAGTGAATACACCCTACATTCTTGACTTGCGAAGGTGAAAACTAAATGAGTCCTCCGCAGTTATGCAGTCACATTGCCTGGTAATATTTACACTTTTGTTTCTCTTCTTGGACTCGTCTCTTCCTCAACGGACTTCTCCTGGGGATCAGGAAACAAGCAGCCACTCTTGTGCGAAAGTAAAACAAAGAAAAAACATGCCAGGAAATAATTCGCAGCTGTACAGGTGAGAAGCACCGCCTGCGTGTTGTACTCAAACTTGCGGGTTTCTCTGGCTGCTGCAGTTACTGCTGATGCTGTCTCTAGTACTGCAGCTGTGGCTGCTGCATCTGCGTGATGGAGGGGGCTCCATGTTGAGGAGTGTTCACTTATGTCGTGGAAGTAAGGCGAACGAGAAATCGAAGTACCGCTCCACGGGATGTCCATGGATTATACAGCATATTGCAGCGCACCACAGCGTACATCTGCTCGCGCATGCACACCTGACGCTGTCTGTGTATATACATACGTACATATATATATATATATATATAT